ATAATGTAGTGGTTAAGTGCGCGAACTCTAATCTGGGAGAACCAGGTTTGATTCCCCACTCCTCCACTTGCAGCTGCTGGATGACCTTGGGCAAGCCAGAGTTCTCCCAGAGCTGTTCTCTCAAGGACAGTTCTGTCAAGAGCTCTCTCGGCCCCACCTGCCTCACAGGGTGTCTGTTGTGGGGAGGAGAAGGGAAAGCTGTTTGGAAGCCGCTCTGAGACTCCCTTAGGTAGTGAAGGGCGGGGTATAAATCCAATCTCCTTCAGTTTGGTGTAGTGGTTAAGTGGGCGGACTCTAATCTGTGAGAACCGGGTTTGATTCCCCACTCCTCCACTTGCACCTGGCTGGACGACCTTGGGCAAGCCGTAGTTCTGACAAGAGCTGTGCTTGAAAAAGAGCCATTTCTGTCAGAGCTCTCTCAGCCCCACCGACCTCACAGGCAGTGTTCCCTCTAAGCTGAGTTAGTGTGAGCTAGCTCACCATTTTTTAGCCTCCAGCTCACACATTTTTGTATTGGCTCAGGCAGGATGGCTCCAGAGCAAACTAATTTATGCCGTAGCCAAATCGCTCGCTCACTGCTTTGATGCCAGTAGCTCACGAGGTGGAATGTTTGCTCACAAGACTCCACAGCTTGGAGGGAGCATTGCTCACAGGGTGTCTTGTGGGGAGGGGAAGGGAAAGGAGTTTGTAAGCCGCTCTGAGACTCCTTCGGGTAGTGAAGGGCGGGGTATAAATCCAATATCTTCTTCCTCCTCTTCTTCTCCTCCTCCTTCCTCTTCCTCCTCTTCTTCCTCCTTCTCCTCCTCCTCCTCCTCTTCTTTTTCTTCTTCCTCCTCCTCCTACTATTACTACTACTATCAGGAAGTGAGGAAGACCCAACATGAGATGGATGGATTCCGTAAAAGAAGCCAGGGCCCTCAGTTTACAAGACCTGAGCAAGGCTGCTAATGACAGGACATTTAGGAGGTCATTAATTCATAGGGTCGCCTTGTTGGAAGTGACTTGGCGGCACTGAGCATACACACACACAGTGGCTATTAGCCACAAGGTATAGCTAGGGGCTCTGGGGCAAGTGATGCTCTGTCATCTTGGTGCTTGGGGGGGGGGTCAACAGTGGGAGGCCTTCTAGTGTCTTGGTCCCACTGGTGGACCTCCTGATGGCACCTGGTATTTCTGGTCACTGTGTGACACAGAGTGTTGGACTGGATGGGTCTTTGGCCTGATCCAACATTGGCGTCTCTTATGTTCTTATGTTCTTACAGGAGAAGTACTGAAGAGGGCCAGATATGTAATTAAACTGAGCACTGATGGAGAAACCTGAAATCCACCCCCCCCAAAAAAAACCCCAACTAAACTGGTTCTAGTGTTCTGCTTGAGAAGAGGCTACCTTCTCAGCGCTCAAGAAGCCCACGAGGTTTCCATGGCAATGTTCTTTTTGCAAAAGGTTGCTCGAAAATTGCACTTAATAGCTGTATCGGCAACACAGTTCAATTTCACTTCCCAGGTTTACCGAAGTCACGTAACGTAGCAGTGATCCGGGAAATTAATTTTAGACACGAGTCTGTGCGATCAAACGAAATCAAGCCTGAATTCCCCCTAGAAGCTAAAATGACTAAGTTCAGGCCGTCGTACTTTGGTCGTATTATGCGAAGACAAGACTCACCAGGAAGTGGTGGTGGCAGGAAAAGAGGAAGCTTCAACTTGAGATGGATCGACTCGATAAAGGGGGCCTCAGTTGCCAAGACCTGAGCAAGACTGTTAGCAATAGGACATTTGGGAGGTCATCAGTTCACAGGGTCCCTTTAAGTTGGAGGAGGAGGAGGAGGAGATTGGATTTATACTCCGCCCTTCACTACCCAAAGGAGCCTCAGCTCAGAGCGGCTCACAAACTCCTTTCCCTTCCCCTCCCCACAACAGACACCCTGTGAGGTAAAAGAAGAAGAGGAGATTGGATTTATACCCCGCCCTTCACCACCGTCTCTAGTTCCAGCTCCTGCCAACCTAGCGGTTCGAAAGCAAGAAATTGCAAGTAGATAAATAGGTACCACTTCGGTGGGAAGGTAACCGCGTTTCGTGCGCCTCGGTGTTTAGTCATGCCGGCCACATGACCACGGAAACGTCTTCGGACAGCGCTGGCTCTTCGGCTTTGTAACGGAGATGAGTACCGCAACCCTGGAGTCGGATTCGACTGGCTTTCGAGCAAGGGAACCTTTACCTTTACCTTAATAACACATCCAAACTGTTACATATTCTGTCTTTCATATCCACACCCAAAATACAGAAAGAAGCGGGTTCAAAAGTACAGAAAAGAAGTGGGTTGATGAAACTCCCCAGAGTTGATTTTCATTTCGTTCACAACTTCATCCGAATATACTGAAGCACCGTGGTAGTCTCTCTTGACAACCTACTCTTCATAGTGTCTTCACATGATATTCCATGCCATGATTTCAAATCCTAGAATGTATCCTCATCCATTTTACTGGAGAATCCTGCCCCGGGCATACAAACAAATCAGTTTGCCTTCAAATGTGTTATTAGCTATTATAAAATAACATTGTTAAATACAGTGGAGAAATTGTATTTCATTTCATCCTAAGCGCTGAGTGTCAGCCTGTTTTTCGGCTTACTAGTTGTCTTGGACCATTTATATCATTCTGCTAAGGTGAGCTGAGGATCCAGCATGTGCACGTATGTGTTTCTCACAGATGAGACATTTGCTAACATCAGTTGCAGCCCTTCTCGGAGACTTCTGACATTTGGAAATAGTTTCCAAATATGTTGTCGAAGGCTTTCATGGCCGGGGTTCATTAGTTGTTGTAGATTTTCCGGGCTGTATGGCTGTGGTCTTGGCATTGTATTACCTGACGTTTTCCCAGCAGCTCTGACTGGCATCCTCAGAGGTATAACACAGAAAGATGGAGTACTCTCTGTGTCAACGTGAGAAGGAAAATGGTTGGCAGGTAATTTATATCTACTCAGGAAGGTGGGGTAGGGCTGAGTCATTCTCTTGTAGGAGTTCCCCAGGCTAATGGAGGAGCTTTCCTGAGGAGATTCTTTTGCATATGGATTGGCTGTTGAAATTCTAATCTTATCTGTAGTGCTATTGTCAGATGTAGAGCATTTTGTGTTTTTCAGGACAGGAAACCATGCCCTATTTATTTTTAAACTCTTCTTTCCTGTTGAAATTGTGTTTATATTTATGAATTTCAATGGCTTTCCTGTGTAATCTGACATGGTAATTGGATATGTTGGCCAGCCTTTCATTGTCTTGGAATAAGATACTGTGTCTTGTTTGACTTAGGCTGTGTTCAGCCACTGCTGATTTTTCAGGTTGGCTCAGTCTGCAGTCTCTTTCAGGTTCTTTTATTCTTGTCTGAATGTTATGCTGTGTGGTCCCGATGTAAACCTGTCCACAACTGCAGGGTATGCGGTATACTCCTGCAGAAGTGAGGGGGGTCACTTCTGTCCTTTGTCATAGCATCTGTTGTATTTTTCTGGTGGATCTGAATACTGTTTGTAGGTTGTATTTTTTCATAAGTTTTCCCATCTGATCAGTGATTCCTTTGATATATGGCAAATACCTGAAGAAACTGCAACAAAGCCCTGTCCCCAACCTTTTTGAGCCTGTGGGCACATTTGGCATTCTGACATGGCATGGTGGGCGCAGCAACAAAATAGCAGCAGCAGGAGGTGGAGCCAGCCACAAAATGCCTGCCACGGGTTAACTTCAGTAGCACAATGTAGATCCTTGTGCTGTGGTGGCAGTTGCTGCCAAAGCAACATTTTTAAAAATCTGCACAGCCAATCAAATCTCCAGTGGCCAATCAGAAGCCTTGGTGGGCAAAAAGTCCTCCTTGGGCCCCACCCACTTCCTCAAAACACTTGGTGGGTGCCAGAAAAGCTGTCGATGGGCACCCACAGGCACCACGTTGGGGACCCCTGCTGCAGTATGCCTTTTAGGATTTGTCTTTGGGAATCCGAGAAGAACTGACTTTTGGAAACGAAAGGGTATCCTGTAATTACCTGTTTACTGAAACTTTGATAGAAGCTCAGGAAAAGTGTAGTTCAGAAATGTGGCCAGCTTCATACATGCAAAGTGTGATGCTATATTTAAAATCTGGGTACCGGATAAAATGATAAGTGATCATGCCTAGGTCTAAGCTACTGTTTCGAGTTATTATTATTTTTACCAGAATTTCATAGAATCATAGAGGTGGAAGGGACCTCCAGGGTCATCTAGTCCAACCCCCTGCACGATGCAGGGGATTCACAAATACCTCCCCCCTCCACACCCGTAGTGACCGCTGTCCCATGCCCAGAAGATGACCAAAAATCTACAGGATCCCTGGCCAAAACTGGCCTGGAGAAAAATGGCTTCCTGGCCCCAATGTGGCGATCAGCATTTCCCTGGGCGTGTAAGAAAGGGCCAGGAGAACTAAGCACTGAGGCAACCCTTCCTGCCCTCCCTCTCACGATCTGCCTCAGTTCACGGAAATCTGCCTTGCTGTCAGATGGCCATCTAGCAGTTGGCTTGTCTTACCAGTTGGATTTGTGTTTAAGGTGGCCATGGAATCCTCCCCAACCAATCAGAACGAAACTCCGTGCTAATACCATAAGGTAGCAAAGCTGAAAATAACTTCTTGATCATGCCAGTCTTGTTGGCACCTGATTCAAACCTTCCATCTGAGCCCTGGCTATGCAGAGTTGCTAAAGCCCTGCAGGTGTGCTCAGTTGTACTAGCAATTTGCATTTCTGTTTGTGCTAATGGCTGTTACTGAGGTATTTGCAAACTTAGGGGCAAGTTCCCCTTGCTCCCAGCAAGCTTATTTGTTGTTTTTGCTACTTTTCTTGCTCCCCCACTCTTCTCTGGAATAATCAAATCTGTAGCATCCACCGGGAGGACTTGGGAATGTAGTAACATGCTGTAGGAATACTGATAATGTGCTTTCCCCGGGCTTAATGCATTGTTGAAATAAAACAGGAATTGTATTATTCCCCAGGCCATCAGCTGTAAAGGGCAGCACAGTATCTCCTACACGCTGTCCAGAAACCAGACGGTCATAGTGGAATATACCCATGACAAAGATACAGACATGTTTCAGGTAAGTGCATCTATTGTACCTAAAAGCTTTGGCCGCAAGTTGTTGAGATGTATTTTGCAGGAGCGTTTCCACCATGTAGGGCAGTGGTGGCACACGTGCCATCGCCCCAGCCAGGCCCAGACCATCATTAAAGTATTCTCTGCCAAATAATTTTAAGTAAATGAAAGCATTTGGGATCGCTTTCCTTACTTTGTTTGGATCATCTTAAGTTAACGTATGAGTTGTTCTTTCTAAAGTAAAACCTCAGTATTCAGGTTAAATTGCCGTGTTGGCACTTTGCGATAAACAAGTGGGTTTTGGGTCGCAGTTTGGGCACTCGGTCTCTAAAAGGTTCGCCATCACTGGTGTATGGCAACAGAAAGTACCCTCAGGTCACAGTCGACCCTGTCAAGAGTTTTCATGGCAAGAGACATTCAGAGGTGGTTTGCCCTGGACTTCCTTGGTGGTCTCCCATCCAAGTCTTAACCAGGGCCGACCCTGCTTAGCTTCCAAGATCTGACGAGATCTGGCTCTCCTAGCCCATCCAGGTCAGGGCTTCCACTGCGTATATGGCGGAACTAAATGCGTTGTTCACTCTGACACTATATCTGTGTGCAGAGAAATCATGTCCTAGGTATCTAGTTTATTCCTAGGCATTGTTAGTTTGATTGTACAGCTCATTTCACATGCAAGATTCAGCCTACTCTACGAGCGAGACTCGTGTTTTCTTGTTTGCTGACGTTTGTGGCTCCGGTATAGGGAAAAGCATGCAATTCATGTCTAGATTTCAACATGGGCCCTTTTGGTGTAGTGGTTAAGTGTGCGGGCTCTAATCTGCGAGAACCGGGTTTGATTCCCCACTCCTCCACTTGCACCTGGCTGGAGGACCCTGGGCAAGCCATAGTTCTGTCAGAGCTGTCCTTGAAAAAGAGCAGTTTCTGTCTAGAGCTCTCTCAGCCCCACCTACCTCACAGGGTGCCTGTTGTGGGGAGCGGAAGGGAAAGGAGTTTGTAAGCCGCTCTGAGACACCTTTGGGGAGTGAAGGGCGGGGTATAAATCCAATCTCTTCTTCTTCTCTCACGAGTAGGTCTCAAAAGGGCTCTCTCTCAGCCTTGCCTACCTCACAGGGTGTCTGTTGTGGGGAGGGGAAGGGAAAGAAGTTTGTAAGCCGCTCTGAGACACCTTTGGGGAGTGAAGGGCGGGGTATAAATCCAATCTCTTCTCTTCTTCTTCTTTTGCTTATGTGCCTGCTAGGAAGTGTGGTTCAGCTGGGTTCCAGGTTCATGTTCATGCTACAATGCATGAACACCACAAAGCAGAAGTGTGTGTAGTTGTCACCAGTGTTCCCTCAAAGCTGAGTTAGTGTGAGCCAGCTCACGGTTTTTTAACCTCTGGTTCACAGATTTTTGTCTTCGCTCATGAAGGATGGCTCCAGAGCAAGCTTAATGTATGCAGTAGCCAAATCACTCGCTCAGAACTTTAATGCCAGTAGCTCACAAAGTAGGATTTTTGCTCACAAGACTCACAAACTTAGAGGGATCATTGGTTGTCACACGTGACAGTCTGTGTTTGGTTAGAGCACTTTTTTCCAGTAGGAAATTTGAAGCATTCCTCATGTTACAGGCGTTCTGAATAATGAATGCAGCTTTCTCCTACAGAGTCTGCCCCGCTTTGAGCTATTACATCCCCTTTTCGTTCAGTCAGTCACGCGCTGGAAATTCAACACTGGGTTTTGTCGTTAATAAAAGAGCTAAAGGCATTCCGTGAACCATCAAAAAAGTGATCTTCTGCCCGGACTTACCCATCCTCGCTCTTTTTGAAAGAGCTCCCAGCGGGATCTAGCAAGGACTGCATTATTTATACCTTTCATTTAGGAATAAACGTTTTCTGGGTCTTGTTCAATAGTAAGTTAATTCGGCGGTAAATACATGGAGTTACAGAGACACACAAATAGATTATTGGGTTTTTCCCCCTGCTGGGACAACGAACAGATAGGTTAATTCAGTATACTGTTTTAGATCTTCATTCACATTGGTGTTGGTTTTGTGTTTGTACAATATATGGATTTTGGGTCCGTCCGTCCCCCCTTTATATATTGGATGCAATCTTTGGCCACGTCAGTAGTTCAGCGGTTCGAGACCCAAGTGCCGCATGACGGAGTGAGCTCCCGTCTCTGGCCCCAGCTCCTGCCAACCTAGCAGTTTGAAAGCCAGAAATTGCAAGTAGATAAATAAGTACTGCTTTGGTGGGAAGGTAACAGCGTTCCGTGCGACTCGGCGTCTAGTCATGTCGGCCACATGACCACGGAAACGTCTTTGGACAGCGCTGACTCTTCGGCTTGGAAACAGAGATGAGCACCGCATCCCCAGAGGGGGATTTGACTGGCTTTAGAGGAATGGAAACCTTTACCTTTACCTATGTTTTCTTGCAGCACGTATAGCAGACCTCTGCCTTTACTCAGGTTGCCAGCTCTAGGTTGGGAAATACCCGGAGATTCAGCACTGGAAGATGTTGGAACAGAGTCAAAATTTACAGATTGTCACAGGCCTGGGAAGAAGCTAGAAAAGATCCTTAGGTGTAAGGACATGTCACTGGTGACCAGGGGTCATTTCCTGCAGGAGCGCACAGGAGCGGAGCTCCAGCAGTAAAGAGCCCAGGGGGCGGGATCATGCAACAAGCCCCGCCCCCTGCTCCCAGCAGCCCTCAGTCAGAGCAAGAAGCAGCCAGGTAAGTTGCAGAGCCCCCCCCCCCGGCCCCCTGGCCCAAAACAGTCCAGTGGCACCTTTAAGACCAAGTTTTATTCAGGTACAAGCTCCCCCTCCTCTGCAAGGACATATCTGCATGCCCCCCCCCCCAATAGCTAGCAATTCAAAACAGTCCAGTGGAGCCTGAGCGGTGGGTGTTGCCTTCTGACACACTTCCAGTGATGTCAGGGAGTGTGGCATATGCAAATAAGGTGTGCTAATGAGCTCCTGCACCTCTTTTTCTATGAAATAACCCCTGCTGGTGACTAAGATCAAGTTAATTCATGCCGTATTATTCCCAGTTACCATGTCTGGGTATGAAAGCTGGATAATGAAGAAAGCTGACAGGAAGAACTAAAAACAAGAATGAAGCACTGATGCAACCCTTCCTGCCCTCCCTTCTCGTGATCTGCCTAAGTTCACAGAATCCGCACTGCTATCAGATGGCCATCTAGCCTCTGTTTGAAAACCTCCAAAGGAAGAGAGCCCACCACCTCCCGAGGAAGCCTTTCCCACCAAGGAACCTAACCGTCAGGAAGTTCTTCCTTAATGTTTAGCTGAAAACGCTTCTTATTTAATTGCAACCTGCTAGTTCTGGTTCGACCTTCTGGGGCAACTAGAGATGTAAAATTTCCGGAAATTTTGAAGCTCGGAAAAAAACCCAGTTTTTTTCCGGTTTTTTGTGTGTGGAAAAAACGGAAATTTTCGGAAAAATTGAAAAAAATGCTACATTAGCATTTCTTTTGTCTTTTCTAGATTGAAAGTCATTCTGTTACTTTAGGAACATAAAATATGACTATGGACATTTTTACTTGGCATGAAAGTATCACAACTAGCATATTAAAAATATAGTGTATCCAAACAATTATTACAAACAGAATACCCACCCACATGCAAAAACAAAACTGAAACTTTTTAATTTTCTTCTGACAATCGCACCTCCTAAAGGAAGAAATGCATCTTGTTCTTGCATTGGAGAGTTCCGTTTGTAACCTAGGACTTGCTTGTCCTCAGTGCACAGAAATTAGATCAATCTGATACCATATATATATATTTTAGAAATGATTTGGAAAATATTTGAACACCTTGTTTTAAAATATTTTATTCATCATGTTAAAATAAAACGTTCCATAATCAATTTTTTTCTTTTCTTTTCTTTTTTCAATTTTTCCAATTTTTCGGGAAAAAAACAAAAAAGGCTTCAGGAAAAAAACGGGAAAAAAACATTTTTTCCCGAATTTTTCCAGTTTTTTCCCGGGCCTTCACATCTCTAGGGGCAACAGAAAACAACTCTGCTCGATCCTCTATACCAGGGGTGGCCAAACTGTGGTTCGGGAGCCGCATGCGGCTCTTTCACGCCTGTTGTGGTGCTCCCGGCAGGGTGGCTGCGGAAGCTAAATAACATCAGCAAACAAATATCATTGGACAAATGATTATCATTATCAATATCTGCTTTTGTTGTTATGTTTGGCAGTCCATCTTAATGTTAACAAAAAGCAATTTTGCATATTTTCCCAATAAAGACATGTAACATTTGTTCATGTCTGGCGGTTCTCAAATATCTGATGTTTATGTGGCTCTTACGTTAAGCAAGTTTGGGCACCCCCTGCTCTATATGACAGCCGTTCAAGTACTTGAAGATGGTTATTGTATCGCCTCTCGGTCGTCTCCTCTCCGGGCTAATCATACCCAGCTCCTCCAGCCTTTCCTCACGGGACTTGGTCTCCAGACCCCCCACCATCTTCGTTGCCCTCCTCTGGACACATTCCAGCTTGTCTACATCCTTCTTAAGTTGTGACGCCCCAAACGGAACACAATACTCTATACTAAAGAGGAAGACCCCGCAGGTGATGGATCGACTCGGTCAAGGAAGCCGCGGCCCTCCGTTTGCAAGACGGGAGCAAGGCTGTTATTGATGGGATGTTGGGGGGGGGGGGCATTAATTCATAGGGCCGCCGGACGTTGGAAGCCTCTTGACGGCACTTAATGCACACAGAGGGGCCTGAAAGACGAAATAAGTTCAAAATGGTGAGCGCCTGACAACGAATTGCAAGGAGGGGGGGTCCCACAGGCGTGACTCCACAGCAGAGGATCTCCGCTTGCCACCCACCTCCCTTCTGAAGGTGTGGGCAAAGAGCAAGATCTCCGGAGGAGCGCATGAGCACCTGCAATGGCCATATAAGAGCCCGCCTAGTCCTTCAGGAACCTGGTTCCCTTAAGCCCTTTAAAGATAAGACGCGGCCATTTGAATTGCGCCCAGAAACAAATCAGGAGTTG